GATGTACAAATGCACTTTACACAATTGATGTGTGTATGGATTGCAATAACAGTTGTATGAGCCCCTAATAAAATGTTTAAAAAAAAAAAAAAGATTAAAAACATTATTTGAAACCTTGAAAAAAAAAGGCCAGTGACATTGCCTGAGATCCCACAAGAAGGAGTGCTATAATTCAAACCCCAGTGCTTTTAAGATTTGTATTGTACATGAGCTTAATTATCAGTGTTCCTATTGAAGAATTAGTAATAGGTATTTAATTAACATTTATTAATATCTGCTGTATTTTGGAAACTGGTAATTACTTTAGATGTATTATTTATTTTATCTTCTACAATGTATTTATATTAACATTCTTGTTTTATGTATGAGGAAACTGAATCTTGTAGATGTAAAGTAATTTAGTCCAGACCAGGCTTATTTTAAGTTACCCAAGACAGCAGATAATTATCATCTTAGCTGATTTGTTGATAATAGCTGTTACGGTTTTTAAATAGTACATGGTAAAATACTTGATTATGATGTAGAAAATCCCTCCTAGTTAAATGTCTTAGTTATCTAGTGCTGTTATAACAGAGATACCCCCAAGTGATTGCTTTAACAAACAGACAACTTATTCTCTCACAATTTAAAAGGCTGGACGTCCAAATTCACATTACTAGATGTAGGGGACGGCTCTTTAAACTGTCTGTTGACATGGGAGGGAAGGTCTTTGTCATTTAATATCTGTGAGTTCAGTGTCCGTTAGCGATCCATCTGTCTTAGAATCAGACTTTCCCTAGACCTAGATTTTTCACATTGAGACGTTGGGTCCAAAGATTGTGCTCTGTCTGCCCCGGATTCTAGTTTCCTCCTTTGCCCACTTCTCTTATAAGGCTCAGTGACCTCTAACAACAGCAGTTCATAAAGGTCATATTCTCCACTCTAATTTGTTGTCTAGCTCTGCACCCTCGTTTGGCTGATGTCTTAAAAAGCATGTGAGTAGGCATTTAAGAAAGTAGAGGAAAAGCAACAAAAGACCCAAGGAATCTATTAGATAGCAGTGAGTGAGTGAGTGAAATTATTGAGCTAGAAGCCAATTTGCTATGTAAACTTTAACCAAACTAACAAATGGTTTGGTTTGGTTTTTTACATTTTAAAATGGTCTTCCCCATTGATAATTCAATATAAAAGAAAGCCTGAATAAAAAACATGCCATCTTTGAACTATGAGAGGAGTCTCTGGATAGAAACTGCCCAGGCAAAAACACTTAAAATCTCCCTACTCATTGTTTGATTGGTCAATGGTTTAAACTGTATAGCTTAGGTTGATCATCTCAAAAAGGGGGGAATGACTAAAATCTACTCCTTAGAGTAAGAGTTGTAGATGAGTTCATTATAAAGCATTATTGCTATCCAAACATTTCTGTTTAAATCAGCTTGGCATTAAGGTAGCAGGTTGGTGATGAAATGGGAGTTGTATATTCTCTGTTACCCCAGTATTGTTGAAAATAGGTATGATATCTAGCAGCCTTCCTATCTATGATCCCTGACAGTAGAGATTTGCTAATTATGTATGGTGAGTTGTTATATTAGAGTTCTTATGTCTGTTTTACTTTTCTGTATATATTATCTTGTTTGTTGATGAAATATAAATGACACTTTCTCTTTCAGTAAAACAAGTCCCATTTCCATGTGATACTCAACTGCAAGCTAATGCTGCACTTTCCACAAAAGTGATAGAGTCTACACTGACAACAACCATACCTCCTGGTGCCAAAGAACAGATAAACAGAGGAGGAGAAGAAAAGAAGGCGAAAGGGAAAATGGAAAAGAAAGGTATTTTAACCTTTAAACATATTTGACACGTCTATTTTTGGCAGATAAAGACATTTTGGATAAAAATGAACGAGAAAGCTCAAACTTTATGAGCATTTTATTTCTAAATTGTATTGCAAGTATAGAGTTCTGTTCATGAGGTTTTTCATTTGGAATTTCTTGGCAAATATTTTATTTTGAATGATGGTCTTTTAACTAGATTTGCCCAGTAAAGACTATTTAATCCACATGCAAACTATGTAGTTGAATATCTGATTTGTGTCTGGCATTAATTATAGACTTTCTATATTTAATTTCACAGCAGGCCATTGAATAAATAAATAAGCAGGTGATCGTGCTTATTTTACATGTAAGGAATCTGAGTGTTAGTGGATTTTAGGAATTTGTCCAAGATAGCTCCTGAGGAAGTAGCAGAGCCAGGATTCAAATCTAAGTCCCACTTGCTAAACAGCTCATGACTAAATAGGACCGCTTGATCACTGTAGTTATATTTTTATTGGGGAAAGTTTTAACTAGAATTAGAAGTAGCACATCATTCATTGTGGTGATTTCAGGAACAAATCCTTCAAATTCTCTCACTTGGGATTGTAGACCCAGAATTTTCTTTAGTGGCTTATGGGAAAGAGTCCTCAACAGGGTAGAATTGTTAAGTCTTATAGTTGAATATAGAAGCAGGACAATTGTGAAGACGCTATGAATTGTTTGATTATTTTGATCGAATGATTTACTCAATAACTTCAAGGGTTGACCATACCAAGGACTCTGAGACTGAAAGAGAAGGAAAAAGGGGGATTCATTGCATTTTATTTGATTTTCAAATATCAACAGGACAAGAAATTTCTGAATGATCATTCTTAAGGTATTTGTAGGTTGAATGGATGTCCTATATATAAAGATTCTAGCATCAATTCAAGTAAATTTTGCTGAGTTTTGCTAATTATGCGCCACAACTTTTACCCAAAGATATGAAATTGGTGTATACTTAGTTAGAGTTACTGTATGGATCTGCTGCAGGATGCATACATTAGGACATATCTTCGCCTTAGCAGAGAACTGCTGTAGACTATGTGTATTTGGAGATATCCTGACACAAGTTCAACTCAAAGCTTCTACTCCAGAAAATATGATCCAATTTTTGACAAAATAGTATATTGTTTTCATAAGCCTTTACTTAGAAATTTTATATAATCTATCATTTAGTTATCATTTTTGTGTTTATAATCAAATATGGCAAAGCAAAAAAAAGTATTACATGACTGTTTAAGGGATTGCTTTGGAATAGAAGAAATATTTGGAAATACACATAAGGACTATAATCTTTTATAGATATTCTTATAGTTTTAACAAACTCAACTTCCATGTTAATATGACTTCTTAACTCTTATTAATGCTGAATTTATAGTTTCATTTAATGAGTATTTTCTATGGGCTGGGTAAGAGTCCTGATTGGTGTAAACAGTATGTTTTTGGCTATTATCTGAAAAGTTGTTAGTTCATATGCTACCTCCTACCATGATGAAAGAAAGACCTTACAATTTACTTCTATGAGATCATTGCTTCTGGGTGCTTTTGAATTGATTTTTGACTCATCCAAACCCACACGATAGAGTAGACCTGCGGCAGAGTTTCCCAGCTGTATCTTTACATGAGCAGATCTCCAGGTCTTCTCCCATGGAGCTGCGGGGCAGGTTGGAGCCACCACCGTACCAGTTAGTTGCCGAGTGCTTGACCAGCATGCTCCTAGGGCTCCTTTCCATAAAACGGTAACCACTGAAAACTCCATGGGGCACGGTTCAACTCTGACACGTTGTGGTCACTATAAGTTGGAAGTGATTTAATGGCACTTGGTGCCGGCGGGGTGGGAAAGTGCTTGTTTTATGTGCTCAGTACGAAGGAGTCAACTCCTTCATATAACTTTATAGAACTCTTTACGGGTGTTGCTGGGTAAGTGTTGGACTCAACCACTAGTTGGTGGTTCAGATCCACCAGGTGGTCCACAGGAGAGAGATGAGGACATCTGTTCCCACAAAGATTTACAGCCTCAGAAACTCCTCAGAGGATTACTGCCTCAGGCCAGGCTCTCTGGAGAGGTAAAATCATTGTCATTGTTAGGTTGTGTGTCAACTTGATTGTTCCTATAAAAAGATTTGGGAGGAAGGCAAAATTCTATTCTTATATAAATTTAAAATCTTAAAAATGAAATAAAATATTCTTTCAAATAGATACTGTAGACAGATCTTACATTTCTATTTATTAATTTTTTTAGAGGGGAATCTGAGTAATGGACAAATTCATTGTACATATATTATGTGTGTGTGTGTGGGTGTGTATGCAACTACTGAGAGAGACATTTAATCAATGGAATTATATTTTTTTATTCCAATTGGCTATTGATAATGCTTTTCTCCCTAAATAATAGATGTTTCACCCATGAAGAATCACAGCAAAAGATTTTAAAGGCTTTCCTAGAGCTCTTTTAAATGCTTTTTTTTTCTGTAAAGGATTGTTTTGTACATGTATTAGCGCTCATTGTAACAGTTGTTCACTTGTGCTGTCCTGTACTAACCACCATAGACAGTGTGTAAACTAAAAAGCTTGACTATGTTAGAGCAAAACTTTATGTACAAAAATAGGGAACAGGCTGGAGTTGGCCCATTCATCATAATTTGCCAGTTGAGTTCTCTGTCTTTCACTAGGAGTAAACAGTTATTCAATGGAAAGTAGGTAAGAAATAATTTTACTTGTTATGATTGAGATAGTACTTTCCTCTGTTACTGTTACTTAAATGAAGGTCAGAGGCAAACTTTTTCCCAAGGTCATAAATATAAATACCACAGGATTTTGTAGTTTTGTTATTATTACTTGCACTCGAGTGGAATACAACTCCTGGAACCCCGTGTGCACAGTGGAACGACTCCCTGGGGCTTTTTAGAGATATTTGGAAGAAGATCACCGGGCCTGTCTCCATGGTACCTCCATGTGTTTGAACCCTTTGACTAGTAGTCCAGTGCTTGACTATTTTTTACACCTGTGTTGTTGATGTATTTCTGATGCTTACTTATATACAAATATATTTTTAGGTGAGAAGAAAGAGAAAAAACAGCAGCAGTCAGAAACAGGAAGTGCTGATTCAAAGCCAGTTGATGTTTCCCGCCTGGATCTTCGGATTGGTTGTATCACCGCTGCCAAAAAACATCCTGATGCAGATTCTTTGTATGTAGAAGAAGTAGATGTGGGAGAATCGGTACCAAGAACAGTTGTCAGTGGCCTGGTGAATCATGTTCCTCTTGAACAGGTATTATGTACACCTATATATAACTGCTATCAATAAGTTGTGAAAAATTGAATTAGCAACACTTTGCATGGCAGACTGACAGGGGAAAAAAAACTCAGTGGAATTTAGTTCCTTGGTTGGTTTTTCAGGGTCCTCGTTTTATTTTCTGCCTCCTAGCTTGTGTAGTCCTTGGCCCGTATGTACTGATAAGTGGCCATTCTAACAACAGCACTTGCTATCTGTTCTCCTGGAGCAGCAGAGGAAGAAAGAGAGAAATGGGAGGAAGATAGAGAAGATGCGGCTCATTTTGTCTCCATCAGCAGCCACTTCCATTGCCACGAGACCAGAAAACGGGATGGCTCCTTGCTACAATCAGGAGCAAAAATTGGCCAAGGGTTCTGAAGCACAATCATCAGGACCTGATAAAGGAAAAATTTATTATGTTTTTCTCGATTGTTATGTAAACACTGTGGTTTTGTTTGTTTTATTATTATTATTATTTTTTAAATAATCATTTTATTAGGGGCTTATACAACTCATCACAATCTGTACATACGTCATCTGTGTCCAGCACTTTAGTACATATGTTGACTTCATCATTCTTACAACACCCACTTTCCACTTGAGCCTCTGGTGTCAGCTCATTTTTCCCCCTCCCTCCCCACTCCTCCTTCCCCCCAAACCCCCAATAATTTATAATTTATTATTATTTTATCATATCCTACCCCATCCCACGTCTCCCTCACCCACTTCTCCGCTGTTTTTAATGGGTAATGACATATACAAGGACCCAAACAATGGATTTTTTTTTTTAAGACATCTGTTTAAACTTTTTTACAAAACAACCTTATCACCTTCGTAGTACTCTCTATTACACTTAATACATTTGTCAAATCTATGATTCCATTCATGAAAACATTTTACAAACTCATCTGTTTGAATGGCTGACAGCAGCACCTCCTTCATTTTTTTCTTTTCCTCTTCTACGTCGTCAAATCTCTGTCCTTTCATGGTCTTCTTCATTCGCAGAAACTAGGGCCAAGAGAAGCATGCTGGGTTTTTTTTTTGCCAAAAACTGGTGCACTGAGATAGCTGCGTGTGCAAGTACATTGTCATTGTAGTCAAACCAGTCCCCTGTCTGCCACATATCAGGCCTGTTTTTGTCTCACGCTGTTACGTAATCTTTTCAAACCCTCTGAACAGAAAGCTTGATGAACGGGAGCGAGACTGACTGTATAACTAACTGTATGCATTCCCATTGCTAGTAAATAGCAACTACAATTCAAAACCAAGTCTGCTATGCTCGGTAATATTTCACTTATTTTTTCAGTAAATAATTCAGATACCTGTTGAGTAAATGGTGCAGCGGCTGGCTATATCTGGCTTCCCTGTTCCCGTGGGGCAGAGGTCAGGCATGACTCTGCCTTCCATTCTTTACCTGTTCTAATACTAACCCTTCCTCCTACCACACTCTACTTCTTTGGTGGGTTTGATAATTCCTTAAAGTGACCACACAATACTAGACAAAATTCACAATTCTGGAGGTTTATTAGGAAGTTAACCAGTTACCATTCATTAGGATCAGGAAATAGTAAAGATAAAATTACTGATATCAGTTCTCTCTCCAGTTATCAGCCTCTCAGCAGATGGTCCTCCTTGACCTTTGCCTCTATAACCAGGAACCAGCCCACTTGCCACCCTGCCTCACAGTGTCATAGGCTTGGTGCTACACCTCTGTTCTATCCCAGGATCTCCATGCTGCAGCCTCCAGTACTTCTGGGCTTGTTGGTCTCTGCTATTTCAGGCGTATTTCAAATGTGCTCCACTTTTAATGATCCTGGCATTTCTTTCTTGCAGGACAGCTCATCTTTATAGCCCAGGGAGTAGCAACTAAAACCAGTCCCTCAAGTTTTGGTGCTACAGATAGCCTATTTACGTAGTCCCACCAAATCATTTGGAGACATGGAGACATGAGCCATAGTAAGAAATCTCACTCCAGCACAACTATGCCTTTTAAGCTATAAAGTATTGGAAGCTTAGGAAATGTTGTTTGTTCTCATGTTTAAGACATCAAAACAAAAATAAGATACTTTAGACATACAAAATAAGTTTGCAAAAGATTTGAACATTTGTTGTTTAATCAGATATACTTTAATTTTTCCAGCTATAGATATCTAAATATTTATAATTGCCAATTGATGTTTCACTCAGATGCAAAATCGGATGGTGATTTTACTCTGTAATCTGAAACCTGCAAAGATGAGGGGAGTGGTGTCACAAGCAATGGTGATGTGTGCTAGTTCCCCAGAGAAAGTTGAAATCTTGGCTCCTCCTCATGGGTCTGTTCCTGGAGACAGAATTACTTTTGATACTTTCCCTGGTAAGTTTTTATTAGCCATTATCTTAAATTGTATGAGAATCAATGTCCCAAAGCAGTGCTTATAATAGTTAAGGTTAAAATCCATTCCCCTATGTGAATCGCTATGAATGTTTAGTAAGGTTGGTTTCAGATGTCCCTTTCTGAGCATATGCACCAAATCACCCGCCTATCCACGGATGCACACCTGACAAAATATCTGAGAGATTCTGTGCCCAGTAAATAGCATGAGCATTTCCATTTAAGCTGCAGATAATCTCAGAAGGCAACACAGAAAGACATAGAGGTGACAAGTTCATTCACAGGAGACAGTTGCGCTCTGCTCCGATGTTCATGTGTTCTAAACTGACTTTAGTACAAGGAGAAAAATGTCTGTTGAAATTGACATTTCTTCTAATAGCCTAAAGGGAAGCTTCATCCCATGTTCTTTCTCCAGTAGAAAT